CACAGTGGTGCCATCAGGGCTCACTGCGACCTTCGCCTCCTGGAGTCTAGCAATTCTCCTGCCTCAGCCTCCCAAGTAGCTGGGATTACAGGCACGTGCCAACACACCTGGCTAATTTTTTGTATTTTAGTAGAAATGGGGTTTCACCATGTTAGCCAGACTGGTCTCGAACTCCTGACCTCTGGTAATCCACCCACCTTGGCCTCCCAAAGTGCTGGGATGACAGGTGTGAGCCACCGCGCCTGGCCCAGAATTCTTTATATATTCTGCATGTAAGTCTTTTATCAGTTCTGTGATTTTTCGTCTTGAAGCCTGTGGTTTGTCTTTTCTTTTTCCTTTCTGGTTCTTTTTTTTTTTTCTTGCGATGAAGTCTTGCTCTGTCACCCAGGCTGCAGTGCAGTGGTGTGATCTCAGCTCACTGCAACCTCTGTGTCCTGGGTTCAAGTGATTCTCCTGCCTCAGCCTCCTGAGTAGCTGAGACTACAGGCACCCACTACTACACCCAGCTAATTTCTGTAGTTTTTAGTAGAGATGGGGTTTCACTATGTTGGCCAGGCTGGTCTTGAACTCCTGACCTCAAGTGATTCGCTGGCCTCGGCCTGTCATCCATTTTGAGTTCACCGCGTGTGTGATGTGAATAAGGTGTGCAGCTTCCTGCACACACATGTGGATGTTCAGGACCGTTTGTTAAAGGCACTTCTTTTTTGAGAGAGAGTTTCGCTCTTGTTACCCAGGCTGGAGTGCAATGGCGCGATCTCGGCTCACCGCAACCTCCGCCTCCTGGGTTCAGGCAATTCTCCTGCCTCAGCCTCCTGAGTAGCTGGGATTACAGGCACGCGCCACCATGCCCAGCTAATTTTTTGTATTTTTAGTAGAGACGGGGTTTCACCATGTTGACCAGGATGGTCTCGATCTCTTGACCTCGTGACCCACCCGCCTCAGCCTCCCAAAGTGCTGGGATTACGGGCTTGAAGCTCTAATAGTTTTTTAAATGGCTTCCTTAGGGTTTTCTGTATAAGAGATCACGTCATCCAGCCGGGCGCAATCGCTCACGCCTGTAATCCCAGCACTTTGGGAGGCCGAGGCGGGTGGATCACGAGGTCGAGAGATCGAGACCATCCTGGTCAACATGGTGAAACCCCATCTCTACTAAAAATACAAAAAATTAGCTGGGCATGGTGGCACGTGCCTGTAATCCCAGCTACTCAGGAGGCTGAGGCAGGAGAATTGCTTGAACCCGGGAGGTGGAGGTTGCTGTGAGCCGAGATCGCGCCATTGCACTCCAGCCTGGGTAACAAGAGTGAAACTCGGGCTCAAAGAAAAAAAAAAAAAAAAAAAAAAAAAAGATCACGTCATCCGAAAAGTTTCCCATCTTCCCTTGTTCGGATCACTGTCACCCAGGCTGGAGTGCAGCGGTGCGACCTCCGCCTCCTGGACCCAGCATCGTCCCACCTCCGTCTCCACAGTACCTGGGACTGTAGGTACACACCACAATGCCTGGCTAGTGTTTGCATTTTTCCTTTTTTTGGTAGAGACAGGGTCTCACTATGTTGCTCAGGCTTGTCTTGAACTATTGGGCTCAAGCGATCCTCCCACCTTGATCTCCCAAAGTGCTGGGATTACAGGTGTGAGCCGCTGTGCCTGGTCCTGGATGCTTTTGTTTCGTTTTCTTTCCTAATTCCTCCGGCAAGAACGTCCTAGAACATGAAAAGTATGTGGCAGGAGTGGCACTGTGGCTTGGTGGGGCATTTCATCGCTGTGGTCACGATGCTCCCGGGAGTCCTGTGAGGTTCTCCTGCGTGGGTGGTGCCAGGCTCCTGGCACCTGCGGGGTTACGGTTCCCATCAAGCTTGGAAAAATGCGTCATTCAGCTGTTTTACCATCTTCCCCTCTGCTGCCACGGGCTCTGATTACATGGATATCAGGCCACGCAAAGGTGTCTCACAGCTCACTATTCTACGTCTCTGTTTTCTAAAATCTGTTTGACATTAAAGAGTTTTTATTGCTACAGTGTCAAGTTTGCTGCATTTTCCTTCCTGATGTCTGAACTGTCAGTACTGCCACCCAACGCGTCTCTCAAATCAGACCTTGACATCTTCATCTCTGGAAGTTCCTTCTCCACTGGGTTTTTGAACACCTTCAACGTCCCTAACACCTTCGATGAGATTTCCACTTCTGCTTTTTCTAATTTGTTTGTGTTTTTCTTTAGAGATCAGATCTCAGTTTGTTGCCCAGGCTGGCCTTGGCATCTTGGTAGCTGGACTACAGCACGCACAGCAGCACCTGGGACAGCTCCTTTAATAGGAGCAGCACAGTTACAACAGACGCTTGAATGTCCTTGTCCATGAATTCTATCATCTATAACATTCTAGTATCTTTCTGTCCATCTGGGGACTGGGGAGGGTCCCTGTGTCCATCATCTGAGGAGGGTCCCTTGCCTGGGTGTCAGGAAGGGGGACAATCTCAGTGGGACATCAGCTGAGACGCTCATGCTTTCATCTCTGCCCCTGTACGGGGATGACATTTGCCCCAAGGATTTCTGTGAAGCAGGTGACAACCTTCTGCCTGCAACCTGCTTGATAACGTTCAGCCCCTGGTTTGGTCGGAAGTCCGGCCAAAGGCTGGCAGCCTGTGTGGGGGATCCTCCACTCCCCCGGCCCGGCAGCACTGCTCCCACCCCTTCCCCAGCAAACCAGCTTCCTGGGGACATGTTAACGGAGCTTCCTGTTTTATTTTCTCTTACCTTCCTTTCTCTCCCCCCCTTCTTTCTTTCTTTCTTTCCCTCCCTCTCTCCCTCCCTCCTCTCTCTCTCTCTCTCTCTCTCTCTCTCTCTCTCTCTTTGGAGTTTTGCTCTTGATGCCCAGGCTGGAGTGCAATGATGTGATCTCAGCTCACCACAACCTCCGCCTCCCAGGTTCAAGTGATTCTCTTGCCTCAGCCTCCAGAGTAGCTGGAATTACAGGCATGAGCCACCACACCCAGCTAATTTTGTGTTTTTGGTAAAGATGGGGTTTCTCCATGTTGGCCAGGCTGGTCTCAAACTCCCAACCTCAGGTAATCTGCCCACCTTGGCCTCCCAAAGTGCTGGGGTTACAGGCGTGAGCCACCAGGCCTGGCCTACAGTCAACTGATTTCCAACACGGGTGCCAAGACAATTTAATGGAGAAAAGAATCCTTAACAATTGCACCATCACACTATTGCAGTCCGGCCTGGGCGGCAGAGCAAGACTCTGTCTCAGAAATAAAATAAAAATAAAGCAACAGAAAAGTCCAGTGCTCTGTCCAGGTCAGAAGGATGGCCCAGATGCCACCACGTTCCTCTCCCCACAGCTTCCCTCTCTACATGCCTGGTCCTGAACTCACAGGCTGAGAATCTGTTCTCACATTTTTATAAAGAAATGCCTGCAACGGGTCTGGGGTGGTGGCTCACGCCTGGAATCCCAGCACTTTGGGAGGGTGAGGCAGGAAGATCACTTGAGGCCATGAGTTCAAGACCAGCCTGGCCAACACGGCGAAACTCCATCTCTACTAAAAAGACAAAAATGAGCTGAGCATGGTGGTGGGTGCCCGTAATCCCAGCTACTTGGGAGGCTGAGGCACCAGAATCGCTCGAACCCAGGAGGTAGAGGTTGCAGTGAGCTGAGAACATGCCACTGCACTTCAGAGTCAGACCCCATCTCAAAAGAAAAAAAAAGAAATGCCTGAGCCTGGCCAACATGGCAAAACCCCTTCTCCACTAAAAATACAAAAATGAGCTGGGCGTGGCGGCAGGCACCTGCAGTTCCCAGGTGCCCAGGAGGCTGACCCCGGAGATGGAGATCGCAGTGAGCCAAGATAATACCACTGTACTTCAGCCTGGGTGACAGAGGCTCTGTCTCAAAAAAACAAAACCAAACTCAAGTAAACAGCAACAACAAAAACCTTAATACGGAGCTGCAGTAACCTAGAAGACTGTGTGACTGGTAACAGAACAAGGATAGACATATTGATTAATGGAATATAATTGAGAGTCCAGAAAAATAAGCCTTCACATTCACTGTCAACTGATTTTTTTTTTTTTTTTTTTCTGAGACAAGGTCTCACTCTGAGCAGGATCCTACTTACCCCACAGGCCACTCTCAGGACACTGAGCTGTGAATGCCATGAGGGAACCGTGGGCCACTGGGAAGGTTGCCACCCTGGGCCTCAGGGGCCTTGCCCTGGCTGCATCCTAGGTGGTTATAGTCCTGGGGCTCCAGGGCACAGTGGGGCAGCAGCTAGGCCTGGGTGACGAGACAGTCCTGGAGCCAGGGGCGAGGTGGTTGGGACCCAGGTGAGCAGAGGGGCCTGAGGGTGTCTGAGACCCAGGTGAGCACCTGGTGGGGGCTGGGACCCAGGTGAGCACTGGGGCAGGGGGTGTGCTGGGGCCCAGGTGAGCACAGGGGCCTGGCGGGGGGAGGGGAGGGGAGCTTCGACCTCACCTCTCACAAGCCAAGGCTCCAGGCAGCCCCAGCCCCACCCCCATCCCTAATTTCCACGCTTGGAGTTAATGGGCCCGGCCTGGCCATCTCTCACCACGGGGCTGATTTGTTCTCCAGATTTTGAAAGCCCGTGGTCGGCTGCTGTGTTGCCCAGTTCCCCATGACAAGCGCAGACACCACAGAGGCGAAGGAGTTCAGCAAACATTTATTCACCCTTGGTCCTCATCAGGGAGGCATCGGGAGATAAACTGCGAGTGACCGGTGACCGTCAGCCACACTCCTCCAACGAGGTGAGCTTCATCTATTACTCATCAGGAAGACAAAGCCAAGATAAAAATCGCTGGGACGGGGGACTGGCCCACAGCTCAGCTGCACAGCGGCCTCCACCTGAGGCGGGGAGGGGCAGGAAATGTCTGGAGGGTGGGAAAGGCAGGAAGGACCCCAAGTGAGAGGAGGTAGCCCACAGGTGGGGCCCCAGGAAGCAGGTTCTGGCAGGCGTCCCTGCTGGGTGTGGGCAGAGGCTGGCTCCTGGAGGCCGGTGGGGGGGGGCGGGGGGGAACTCTGAGAAAGGGGAATCCTAGAGGGGGCCCATGCCGCCTGCCCAGCCTGGCTGTGCTTCCTGAGACCTCCCTGGTGTAGCCCAATCCTCCCAGCTCTGTCATTCAGATGGTCGGGTTAGGTCCCTGTGGGTTCATTTCCCCGTTTGGGGCAGGTGCCGGGGACAGAGTGTCAGGACAGACTGGAGCCGGGCCCAGATGATAGGCAGTTGGGATGGATCACGAGTTAGGAGGAAAGTCAGGGAAAGCTGGGGGACGGGTGCTGAGTACAGAGTGACCCAGACTGCCACAGGCTTGCCCAAGGACTGTGATTCCCCAGAACCTGAGTGGCCCCTGGAGAGCCACAGAGGAGGTGGAGGGCATTCGAGGCTGGGGTCTGGTGGACAGCTGTCCTGCCTCTTAGGACCCACAGCCTGGGTGACTTTGCAGGGTGCCCCTCCTGCCCAGGCTCCTTCCCCACTCCCAGGTCCTCCCTCCCGTTCCGCACTGACGCCTGCTCTGAGCAGCTCCCCTCCCCCAGCCCGCTGAGGTGGCCTCCCTCACAGAGCTGGTACCCAGGCTCCCAAGAAGGGCTACTCTGAGGCTCCCCTGGGACCCGGACTCCCGGGGCAGGACTGCTGGTGGACCAAGGGTGCGGCTCGCAGCCCAGTGCTACCCCGGCTCAGGGTCACTGGCCGGTCCTTGGGAGCTCAGAGGAGAGAACAGGGTCGCCTGGGAGGCTCCTGCGAGGTGTGCCCCGAGGCTGTGTCCTGGAGGGTCCCGGGGGCTCCTGCTGGAGGCACGACTGGAGCCTTCGAGGCCCCGTGCTGGTGGGACTCTCCCTCGCCTCCCGTGGGCCCCGGTGAACTCAGCCGCTGATGGGAAACGGCCCTCGGCGGGGCTCGAGGGAGATCCTCTGCCTCGGCCCCGGGGAGCACGGGACCCGGGATGGCGGTGGTGGTTCAGGGGGACGCACGGCGCTGCCTGGAAACTCGGTGGTCGCCAACGGCACGTGCTCAGGGCCGGTGAGGAGGAGTCCCAAGTCCGGAGGAGCCCCCAGTCCTCACCCGCTGGAGGGTGGCAGGGAAGGCTGCGGGCAGGCCCGACGCCCTCGGGAGCCACGTCCTCGGTCCGGGCACCTGGTGTCCGCACCCCGGCTCGGCCCCGAACCCTCCCCAGCACAGAGCCCGGGGAGGGGTCTGCGGCGGGCACGGGCCGCTCCGCACGAGCAGGAAAACCCAGCGGGAGGCTTCAGGGCGAAGGGTTAGGGCTCAGCTCAGCCTCCGCCTTCCGCGGTCCGGGGACTGGGAGTCCGGAGAGGAACCGCCGAAAAAAGGAACGCCCCGAGATGCCGCGCGACCGCCTTCCAGCGCCGGACACAGTCCGGACACTCAGGGACGCTCGCCTTCCCGCCCGAGCCCCCGGGGGACCCCTCAGAACCGCACCGCGGAGCGACGCAAACCCGACGGGGGAGCAGTGGGCGTCCGCGCGGAGGGGCTGCAGGGGCGCGGAGAGGGTCGCCCCGGGCCCTCCCGACGCCCCAGCCACCTGCGGACATCGGCCTCCCTGGGAGGGCGGGACCCCCGACGCCACCGAAGCCCACTCTTCACAAAGACGAAACAAGGAAAACTCGCGACGTGGCCTCTGCAGTCATAAATACGTGTTCCCCGGTACGGTCTCAGAAAAGGTCCCGGCCCTAAAACGGGGCGCGGCATCGGAGGCGGTCCCAGGGCTGCACGTCACCGCAGCCACGGCCGCCAGGGTCCGCCCAGGCCCTGCGGCCCCGCCCTGGGGACGGAGGGCAGCGCCCGGGTCAGGCCCGGCAGCGGCGGCGGCGCGAGCAGCGGGAAGGGGCCTCCGGGCGCCGGGGCCTCTGCGGCGGGGGCAGCGGGGGGCGGCGCGGCCGGGCGGCGGGAGGGCCCCAGCTGGCGCAGGCAGGCGGCCAGGTGGCCGAGCAGGCGGGAGCGCACGTCGGCCGGGACGCCCTCGCAGCTGGCCAGGAAGCGGCTCACCTCCGCCAAACACTCGTGGAAGCCTGCGCGGTACTTGCCCAGGACGGCGGGGTCGGCGCTGAGCGCGGCTACGGGGGCGACACGCGAGGAGCGGTCGGGGCCGGGCCCGGGGGTCCCGCGCGCCCCCACCCCCCGCCTCGGAGCTGCCGCCGCCCGCGCCGCACCTGTCACCTGCACGCGCCGCAGGCTCCGCAGGTGTTTCACAGTCATCTCCAGGATGTCCGCCTTCTCCAGCTTCGAGTGGCGGGAGCTCTGGGGGCAGGGATGGGGCGGGAGGTCCAGGCTCCGCTGCGCCCCCGACTCCGGGTCTCGGGCCGTCGCCCCCGGCTTACCTCTTTCCTGAGAGCGTCCAGGATGAGGGTTTTCAGCTGAGCGAGGCTCTCGTTAATGCGCGCTCGGCGCCGCTTCTCCATGACCGGCTTGGAGGACTGCGGATGGCACCGGCTGAATCCCGCGTCCCTCCGTCCCTCCCCGCCCCCGCCGTCCCCCTCGCGCCCGGCCCGGACCCCACCTTGCGGTGCTCGGCCGCGCTCCGCGGCTTGTCCGGGGTCCGACTGGCGCTGGCCGGCGCTCCTGCCACCGGCGAGGCGCTCGGCTTACCCGGCGTGTCTGCGGGCATGGTGCGCCCCGCGCCTCCCTGCGCCGGGTAGCGCGCGCCGCCGGGGGCCGGGGGCCGGGGGCCGCGGGCCGGGGGCCGCGGGCGGCTGTCCGAACTTCTCTGGCGGGTCCCGGCTCCAGGCCCGCGCGCGGCTCCGGCTCGCGCTGCTATTTAAGGCCTGGCCGCCGCGGGGCGTGTGAACCCGGCTCCGCGTTCTTTCCCACACTTGCGCCGGCCAATCGGCGCCCGCAGCCTCCCCCGCCGCTGTCAGTCACGCCTCGACTCCCGGCCGCGGGCGACAAAGGCTTGGGTCCCCCACCCCGCGCCCTCCTCCGACCCCGGGGCCAGGCCGGGCGATCCGAGCCCCTCCTCTGCAGCCGGGGCCGAGCAGCGAGCCGGGGGACAACGGGGACCAGGGACCCCGGGCTGGGCGGAGTCTCGGGCTCACTTTCCCACCCCGGGGGCCGAGCTGGGGTGCAACGGAGCTCGGGCTGGCGGCGCAGGGAGTCGGGAAGGACTTTTCGCCCCGGGTGCGGGGGTCGGGCGGCCCCGAGGGGTGGGCGAGCCTGGGGCGGCGCCTCTTCCTCCGTCTGACCCCCGCGCGCCTCCTCCAGTGCCGGTTTTGGCCCCGCCGGGTCTCCGAATTTGACACGACACCGGCCCGGCCTCCGGGGGCGCCTCCCCCAGCGCGCGTCCCGGGGCACCAAGGGCTGCAGGAAGCCGTGGGACGCTCGGGCGGGGACGGGGCGGCGTCACCGCACGGTGAAGGGGCGCACGGGTGACCCCGCAGGGCCGGGCGGGACGCGAGTCAGCGGGATGACGTCATGGGGCCGGTGTCGTCACGAGCTTCCAGGTGACCCGTCCGCGCGCTCAGCTGCAGGAAGTCGGGCTCACGGAGAAAGCTTGCGAGGGGCGCTGTCCGTGCCGGTTACTGCGAAGGGCCGGATGCGGGCGCCGGCGGCGGTCACTGCCGCGTGCGCTGTTTTGACGATCAATGCCGCGACGGGGCGCGCTGGCTGTTTCGGCGCTCGGGGTCCCCCGCGGCCGGAGGCCTCCTGAGCCCCCTGGAGAGCCGGGCTCGCGCCGGGCTGGAGACCCCGGGAAGGAGGCCGAGGCGGACCCCGCAGTCTCGCGGTTTGAGAAGCGAGTTGGTGGAGAAAAGCCTCCCCACGGGGTGGTCCCAAAAGCTTCTGCAGGCGGGGGGTCTTCAGCAGGAAAGCCCCGAGGGAGGGCGTGGCGTTCCCAGGGCGCGGAGGGGGCGCAGGGGCGAGGGAAGTGGGAGGGGCGGCCGGGCAGGCGGGAACCGCGAGCTTCTGGCCGGGGAGGGGTCGGGCAACCTCTGGGGGCTTTTCTGGCCGGCGAGTCGGCTGAGTGGCAGGTGCGCCCCTGCCCGAGCACCGGGACCCACCCGGGGTTTGCGTCCGGAAGCCTCCCCTCCCTCCGAGCCGCTGCGGCGCCCCCCACACCCCGCCGCCTGCACCCGGGCGCGAGCCTAGGAGCCCTCCCGGCGGACCGGCTGCCCACGCCCCTCGCTGACCGGGGAAAGCCGCGGGGGCCGGGCGGGCGTCCACTGGAACCCCGCTCGCCTGCGCTGACCCCTCTGCTCAGACCGGCCCCGCAGCCCAGGAGGTGGCGTGGATGGTGCCCCGCGTCCCCGCCCCGCGTCCCCTCCCGGCCCGAGCGCTGCGCCGAGGCGGGAAAGCTTGCGAGCGCCCCCCGGGGCCGCAGCATCCTGCTGGGGGTCATCCCAGGGGAGCTGCCGGCCTGAGTCTCCCCAGCCCCTGCGCCCGGATTTGGGAAGGGATCTGGGGGGACTCTGGGCCTCCCCGGTCTCCAGACAGGCAGGGAGTTCAGGATGGAAGGAGGGGCCTGAGGATCGTTGTTGTTCTTTCCTATTCTTTGGTAGAGCTGGGGCGGCTCCTGTGTTGCCCAGGCCAGTCGCGAACTCCCAGCCTGAGGCAATCCTCCTGCCTCGGCGTCTCGGCGTGCTGGGACTGCAGGCCTGAGCCTCCTCCCTGCCCGGCGTGGCTGGGGCTGACCTTCCCCTCACTGGTGTTTAGATGGGCTGGCTTTCCTCCCTGTAACTGCTTCCTCGTTTGTACCAGGGGCTTTTTATTTAACCCAGGGTTGTTGGGAAGACAAAGGAGATTCTACTTTTAAAGCCGCTGACCCGGCGGTGTCCGACTCAGTGAGCACCCGCGTCCATCTGCCACCGTTCCTGCCCCAGGCAGCAGGCGGGGTCCTCGCGGAGCCGAGAGCAGATGAGGCGGGGAAGCACGGCCTGCCGTGCTGGAGAGGAAGGGCCCCTGCTCCCCGCTGCCCCCACAGGGAGCCCACTCCAGGGTCCCCAGGCCTGTGGTCTTCCCACCATCTTTACCGCAGGGCGGCTCCCGTCTGCGTCGGTCTCTGTCTCATGAATGCGCACATGGCGCCACTTCTCTGGCTTGGAGGACTGCGGGTGGGCACCGGCGGAGTCCCTCCTTCCTCCGTCCCTCCCTGAGGGGAGGGTCCTCAGCCTTGTGGGGGGTCTCCTCACATGGGGCCACTGTGGCCACATGGCATGATGTCCAGCCAGTGTCCCCGTACAGCCTGCCAGGTGCTGGCTGTGACCTCCCCTCCCAGCCTCTGACCCAGAGGTGGCGGCTGACTTCCTGCCACGCCCTCAGTATCCCCCTGGCACACCGGCCCCTGACAACGGAGCCACGCCCTGCACGTGGTCCTCAGCATGCTCCCCTACTCCCACCAAGGGCACTCAGGCAGCCAGGACCAAAGCCACCGAGGAACCACGGCTGGGCCAGCGTGGGGTTTCTCTCCCCGAGAGCCAAAGTTGGGCGCAGAGCTAGTCCTGGGTGTTCGCTGGGATCGGTGACGAAGGCCACAGGGGCAGGGGAAAGAGCAGGACCCAGGCAGAGGCAGGGGCGCCCAGCTGCCAGGCTCCCACCCCGACGCATGCCTGCCTAGCAGGGCAGCTGTGTCCCCATGTGGGTGGTGCTGGGTCTCCCCCCTGCCCTGCCTGTCTGGGATGCCCTCCCGGCCCGCTCCCAGCAGGCACTGCTTTTCTCCCCACTGCACGGGGACGAGCTCGGTGCCCTTGTCCTTCCTCACCGGCACATCCAGACTGTTTCCTTCTCCACCACGCCACCCCAGCTTTGTGAGCAGACCTCATCACGTCCAGGTCATCGGCTCCCTTTCCTGAAGGAGGGGACGCTGCTCCCCGCCCCTCTCCCAGCCATGCTTTCAAAATCCAGATGGGTGATTCACCAACTTGGACTTCCTCTCCTTCAGGGGTCCTGTACCCTCCCCGCTCGCCCCGCTAGTCTGGGTCCTTTCTCCTAACCGCACCCCTCCACAGTCTGGCTTCTCCCAGCTCTGCCCGGCTCCCGCTCTGGCTCTGCTGTCCCTCAGCCCGCGAGGTCTGCGGTGTTTTCGCCGGCCTCCGTCTGAGCTTCCGAGTCCCCTCCGTCCCTTCTCTTGTTATCAAGAGCAGCCTGCCTGGCCGCCATTGTGTCTGCGCCTCACCCTCCCTCCCTCCTCTCCTTCCTCCCATTCTTGTGGGCAGACCACAGCCCGTGTGGAATCTCAGCCTGGGTGGCTTAAGCACCACCTGCCCATTCTTTCTCGCAGCGGGGATAGGGGTGGTGCCTGCGGCTTCCCTGGGCCTCACACAGGCCTCGCCCTGGGCCAAGGTCGGCTGAGTGGGGAGGGCCCAAGTGACGCCATGCTGGACGCCGTCCCTGGCTGCTGGAGTCCCTGCCAGAGCCACGCAATCTGGAATCCTGCCCACCCTGGTCAGCTTCCTCCTGAGGCAAGGCCAGCCTTCCAGGAGGGTGAGGTGGAAGCTGGGGTCCAGAATGCATACAGTGAAATTTTCACACATTCCATTGGCCAAAGCAGGTCACAGCAGCGGGATTCCAGGGGAGTCGGAAAACGCAGTGATCCCTCCTCCCTCCCCCTGCAGGGGCAGGGCTGCCTGAGAAGCCAACGCCCCAGGTTTTCCGCCTGCTGGCTCTGGGAGGGCAAGGATGGAAGTGTCATTTAGTGGCAGGGACACTAGGGAGCCTGGTTTGGCCAAGCCCTAGCTCCCTGCGGCAGTTCCCCCAGGACAGCTGGGCCTGTGTATCCAGTGGGTGGGCCTCCCACCAGGTGACTGCACCAGGCAGTGGGGGTGTGTGGTCCAGCACAGAAGGGCCCCGCCCCCGGCCGTGTGACGTCAGGTATCTAGCCCCTGCTCCTCACAGGTGTGTAGCTTCTGTGTCCTCTGCCAGGTCCTGTGGGTCTAAGAGGGGATCTCTCCTCTCATCCAGCGAACCAGGCTATATCCACCCCCAAGCCCTCCCCAGCTGGCTGCCTCCCCCCTGGCTCGAATAGCAGCAGCCTCCGGGGTCATGGGCCTCCCCCACACTCTGTCCTCCCTGACGCAGCCAAAGGCATGCTTCTAACTTGCAGACCCCCTCCCTAGGGCCAAGCCCATCAGACACCAGGCGGTTCTGCGTGTCCCACTGGGCCCACTGTGTGGAGTGGGGCCCTCTGCCCTGTCCCGGGTCCTGCTCTCCCAGGGAGCCCTTACAGGGGGCTGCAGCTGGGAGGGGACATGCCTGCCACGTGGGTGGGGAGGCTCCAGCCTGGGAAGATGGGATCCAGGACGGTGAGACTTGTGGCCCAGGTCAGGTGGTGGCAGCTCAGCTTCCTGGTCCCAGGTGGAGAGACAGGGTGAGGCTCCTCCTCATGGGTCTGGAGGGGAGGGGCTGCCTGTCATCCGCCCAGCCTTGAACTTCAGCCGTCCATGTTTCTTAGAAAAGGTGGCCAATCCCATGACACACTGCCGGGTCACCCTCCGCTGGCCGCAGGGCATGGCAGGCTGAGCTCGGCCTTCTCGGAGTGCCGTGGTGTGCCTGTGGGGTACCCAGTCCATCCTTCCCAGTGGAACCAGGCAGAGGTCCAGCCCTGTCGTCAGAGTGACCTTTGAGCTGTGACGAAAGGTTACATGTGACCAGGAGCCATGAGTCAATCAGATGTCATCCAGGGCAGTGGCTGAGGAGGGGTCACTGACCAGACGGGAAGGCGGGGAAGGGTCTGGATGTGAACAAGAGCAAAGAAGTGGGCCACAGGCTGTCGGGCTCCTTCGACGGATGAGCCTCGGCCTCCGGCCTCTGTGAGGCTGGATCCCGACAACAGCCCACCTGAGCAAGGCTCAGGCCTCCCTGGGAGTCCAGGGCCCCAAGTCAGCCCTGCACCTGGCCCAGGCCTCCGACCCTGATGGGGCTCA